CTAGGCTTGATTATCTATAGGGTTCCTTCTAGCCCTGCCATTCTAAGATTCTATTCTATTCTATTCTATTCTATTCTATTCTATTCTATTCTATTCTATTCTATTCTATTCTATTCCTTCTCCTATGAGGAAATTGGTCCAAAGAGTAGTATTTCAGTAGTGAACAAAGTTGGAACCAACAGTGAGCAAGGCTAGATCCTATCCCTTGTCATTTGCATCCACATTTCTTCCCATTCCATCCTATCTATTTCCTTGTTTTTTCTCTCCATCTGCCTCTCTTTCACATTTTATAGTGTGACTTGATGAAAAGAGGATAGCTTTCGGCACTTTTACTTGGGTTGGCCTACATTCTCCTGAGAGGCAGGAAGTGCCAGGGCAACCCCTCCTCCCTCCATCTATCTGTTGAATGTGGTGGTAATATTCCCCCAAGCCACTTGCACTGCTAGAGAAGGAGACACCAGCGCCCCTCCCCACACTTCCAGCCATAAGAGCCTGTTGCAGTTGCATTCCCCAGGAGGATGAAGAAAAAGAAGAAGGAGCAGGTAGCAACAGTCATGAGGATGGCAGCAGTGGCAGACCCACAAATAATGTTAATAACTGTATGCTGTCAAGTCTTTTCTGATGTAAACTAATCTCTCAAGCTTAAAGAACTCAATAAATTGTTTATTAGTCCCTTCTTCTGGTGGCAAGGCAGGTAACCCCAGTAGCCACACATGCTGCAGATGATCTTGGTTGACCCAGTCCCAGGGGCTCACATACTCCAACCCACTGAGCAACATAGCTCTACTTCTATATTGGGTTGGCATGACTGTGAGGGATCCTCACAGCCAAGGCACTGACACCCCGCCCCCCAAATATTACTTTGGCTCTATGGAGTTTTTTCCAGTAGGCACTGAGGAGATGGCCTGCTCTAGAGGGCACGGTTCTTCTGTTTCTGCGGGGAGTGGGGGGGGAGGAGAGGAACATTCTGCCACCTGAGGCATCTGCCTTACTTGGTGTTCCAGTGGAGCCAGTCCTGCTTTCACCAGCTGTGTGCAAGAGGGAATTTTAGCATAGGTAGCCTATCTTCATTTGCATCTCACTAATTTACCCCATGTAGCCTTATATCTCTCTGTATAAAGGAAAATCATAATACCTTAGAAGATGATAACAGAAGGCAGAGTTTAGAAAAAGTTGCTTTTTAGACTCCAGATTCCATAATCTCCCAGTGGCCATGCGGGGTAGGGGGAGGCAACCTAGCATGCTGTACATTTTCCAAGCAGCTGGTGACTATATCTGATCTTTTGGTTACGTGTAGGAAGAGGGGAAGCCCTACTGTGATTTAGGCAGTAAAGTGTCAGATTTTTGCCACTTCTGTTCAAGACAATCTGCAGGAACTAAGCAAGGAACTTTCCTTTTCTGCCCTCAATCTGCCCATGAGCCCATTCTTGAAACTTTTATCTGTTTTCATTAAGAGCATGTTTTGGGTTTCCCCTCTTCTTTGAGAAAATGGGTGCAGAAAGTCAACTGGGGAAGGAGAGGGAGTAAGGAAAGGAACCTAAAAGCCTGGCCCTTAAAGATTTTCTTCTGGATGGATTGTCAGCTGAAATGCAGGGGAAGTCCTGCTCAACCACAACCTGGGTGGTGACAGGTCTCCAAACTATGTTTTGCACAGTGAAAGAGCCCTTGTATACTGTGTGGAAACAGGAAGAACGCAGGCCAGCATGCTAAGATTCCACTCACCAATAAAGGAAACGAATGCAGACCTAGAGGTTGTGGCTATGCCATCATTGCTCTCTGCCAGCAGCACTTACCAGTGGACCCCAAAGTGCTCATTGTGGGCTAGGAACCCCATAATTCCACAAAGGCAGCCATGTTAGTCTACTGGATGGAAAACAATAACGTTTTATAGTACCTTAAAGCAAGGGTAAGAAATGTACCATGTTTTCCCGAAAATAAGACAGGGTATTATATTAATTTTTGCTCCAAAAAAAAGCATTAGGGCTTATTTTCAGGGGCTGTTTTATTTTTTTGCCATGTACAACAAGCTACATTTATGAAAATACAGTCACATCTTCTTCTGGTTGCTGCACCATGGTGGAGGGTGGGGTTTCACTTAACTGGGACTTACTTTTAGGGTAGGGCTTATATTACAAGCATCCTGAAAAATCATACTAGGGCTTACTTTCAGGTTAGGTCTTATTTTAGGGGAAACAGGGTAGGTCTCTTCTAGTTGGACAAGGCCCCTTTATCCCTCTCTGTTAAGAATGCTGGCTAGTGCTGATGGGGGTTGAGGTCCAACAGACCTGGGAGAACTGTGTGCTCCTCATCCTGCCTTAGAGCTAGCATAGCTATTGTTTGCGATGGATGGTTTTGTGGTTGAAAGGCTAGTGAATGAGTGCCTAACTACACATTACGTTAATTGTGTGGCTTGCAGCATGTTAAGAGCTACAATTATAGATTTTTCAAAATATGTAATTGTAATCACACACAATTTGTGCATGAGGGATGATTTTCACCAGAGTTATATGGTGGGAGGGAAGGCATGGTTTAACCCTTCCCTCCCCTGCTGTGATGCTAAGGAAAGTCCCTGCCTTTCATGCTGTGATTGCAGATGGAGAGGAAAGCTTTTTCCTATTGCTCGTTGAAGCATGGCAAGGAGTTCCCATTGGGCAAAACAAGTACAACATCTGTAGCCTTCTTGAAATAAGAGCCATGAGTATTTAAATTTTTATGCATTTGGTTATGAAATGTTCAGTCCAAGGCGATGTCATGAATGCTAGTATTCATTATTATTCCTCAGTATCTCCTGCTGTGATTCCAGTTGTAAGAATGAGGACCTAGGATTAATTTTTTTAAAAATCTCCTGATCTTGCTTGAGCCCCACATACTGGCTGAATCCTGTTGCCATGGCTCTGCATACATAATGTTGATGATGTCATTTACCATGCTATTTTCTATTAATTAAAAGTTTCCTTAGATCACCATCCCTTGCCAGGTTCTTAGGGTTCCTAGGGATTTCTTTTATCACAGGGAAGCCTTTGGAGGTCTCAGGATCAGAGAATCTCTATGTCCAAAATTTGCACCTGCTGGTCCTGCCACTCGAATTTTTCACACATTAAAGATTTTCCAGCATCCCAAGAGCCCCAAAGGCTTCCTGTACCTTAGAGACACCCTGCCATTTGCTAACCTTCCCTGTTCCTACAACACACCTTCATTCCAATATGACAACCACCAACTTTGAGAAGCCCCATTGTCCCATGGGTGGGGGAATTTCCCACCCACCTACAAGGACCAAACGAAGCAGCAAAGAGCAGAGCAGTGGGACACTCCCCTCACTAGGTTCCAGCCAATCCAGGCTCAACATTCCTATTCTTTTCCTCTCAGATATTCTATTGGCTGCTGGAAGCATTAGGAGCCTCATGGCACAGTGGTTAAACTGCATTATTGCAATGAAGACTCTTCTCAGTACTTGAGTTTGATCTCAACAGGCTCAGGTAGCTGGCTTGAGGTCGACTCAGCCTTCCATCCTTCTGAATACCCAGCTTGCGGGGGGGGGACAATATGTAGCCTGTATAATTACATTGTAAACTACCCCTTGGAACATTATTGTGTTAAATTTTTTATTGGTGATTTGACAGCCAATGGATGAAAGAGTAAAGAAAGGCTAAATGAAACAAGAAAACGTGAAAGAACACGAAAGTCACATGTTTCCTCTTTCATTAACACAAATTCTTCACATTTCAGAGGCTCTCTATTGGGAATGGATGAAAGAAGAGAAAAACAAAAATATGAGCCTCTTTCATGTTCGTATTTTCCCCACTTGTGCTAACAGGAAAATCCCATCCCTGTCCAGTGGTGTTTATCTACTAAGAGAAGAGATATCGCTGTTGAAACAGATTCCCTCTCCTCACTGCAGCTCCTCCCTAAGCATGCTCTCCAAAAATCTGCTTGGAAACAGACATTTAGTGCATGAGCAGGTGTGCTCATATGACATTGGAGGGAACCTAATAAGAGTTTGATCCATTGTGGCCCTCACTCCACATTGTCCTTAATTCCAGAGGTGTAGCTTTGTTAAGCTCTTGCAAGAAAAGCCACTGGCTCCCATTTTGCTGCCCTGCACAGCTGTCTTACTTTCCATAAAATGCTGCAGCTGGGATTCTGATTGGGACCATTATGGGTATCTTCATACTATGACACTGGATTGTTTCACAGCTCAGGTATAGGCTTTGATGAAGTCTAAACCCCTGAAACATTTCTCTTCTTTCTTCTTCCTCATCATGTGTCAGAGGAAGCCCTGTTTCCTCTTCCAATCTTAAGAAGCAGGCACCTGGTGAGTACTCAGGTGAGCAGAAGATATATTCTGCCATATATTCATATATTCCGCCCAGAGACCTTCGGGTAGTGTGGGCGGCATATAAGTTAAATAAATAAAATAAAATAAAATCAATGCCATTTCACTTTGAAATATATGTCATGTATTGGAGGAAAAGGATTTGTGTTCTAGTTTAATCCTGTTGTGTTTCCACTCATAGGTTTACAAAACCCATGAGCCCACAGAAATGAACACAGTCCACTATGTATGCCTGGCAATTTCCTAGGAATTTCTTTTCCTTCCTGATGGTGCTTTCTGCTGGTGACTAAAAAAAAAAAAAATCCCAAGTAGGCTATCAAACATGGCAGGCTAGTGGGCTGCACTGGGTTTGTTTCGTAGGCCACAAGCTGCATCTGTACACCTGACTGAGAAAGACATGCTCAGAGAGAGACTAGCTGCAGATGTGAACACTGTTGTTTATGGTAAACATTGGCTGTCAGGGGTTTGTTTGTCATTTAGTGCCATTTAGAGTACCCAGACAACATGCGTTCCCAGGCCTGAGCAAACCACCTACCCTCACCACTTCCTCTTGCTTGATGCCAGCCGGTCATAAGCCAGAGCCTGTGATCAGTCCAGGAATGACAGTCCCAGGCTCAAAGTGGTGGGCGGATGTGCCTGGACTTGGTAATAGTGAGAGTCTCTGTTTGACACACACATCCTTGCTCCCAGCCAACTGCCTGGTAGAATCTGCTAGGAGAACAGCGAGAACGAGAGAAATGCAGAAACAGTGTTCACTTTGGGGGCCCATAAAATCTATAACAGCAGAATCCAGCCCCTGTCAAAGTCGTCCAACAGCTGCTGACAAGGATGGGGTGGGTGAGTTGTGTATATTGGTTGTTCTCGCTGGAAACACACCTCTGTAGGAAAAAAAACTTGGTGCATTTTCTGCTGAAGAGAACTGGGAAAAGTTACCGTCTTCCTGTTGGGAATGTTTGCAACTTCACATTCTATCAGTAGTCTCTGTGACTGAGAGAAGCTTTCCTGGGCTGTGGTGATTGTACGTATTTCTGTCCAGCACTAACTGAGAAGCTTTCCTGGGCTGTGGTGATTGTATTTCTGTCCAGCACTAACCAATTGTTTCTTCCAGCCTTTGATTTCAAGGAGAGCCCCGCCCCTCTGTTGAGGGTTCTTCTTCTTCCTCTTTAGTCAGTTCGTAGCAGTTGTTTGTTTGACGTTGATCTGTCTAGTTTGTTGCCAGTATATTTGCAGTAAAGAAAGCAGCATGCACAAATCTGTAATTTCAAGGAACTGTAAGTAAAGTATTTTTTTTTAATTCTTTCTAAAGTAAAGAAATGTTTTTTTTTATTCTTTCTACTACCAGTGTCTCAGAGTGAGTTATTGAGACTCTAAGTACCAGTTAATGAGAAAGAGGTGGACTCTGGGTAACTTGTAGCTATTCTCCTTTGTGAATCTTTGTCATTTTGTTGCAAAGGGAATTCTACCAGAAAATCAAAACTCTGCAACACTTGCAACAAAATTCAGAAAAGTGTCCATGACTGCTGGGGATGTGCAGGTATTATCACACATAGACATTTCCATGTTCTGGTTTTTGAATCCTCAACATCAAGGCTTTTGGCATTCTGAAAGAAAGTGAGTCACTTACATGCTTACATCTATCTGTTGCTTCAGGTAATGAATGGCCATATCATCACAGGCACACATTTCCAGTCTGATGGCTGGGGAAAGCTCCCTCTTGGTGGGTTTGTTTTTGAGCAGTCATTCTGCCTGCTTTGGAAATGTTAAGAAAGGAGGTGTTCACAAAACAGAGTGTAAATCTATGGGCTCCAGCAACTTTCCAGGTCACAGGCAGAAGTTCCTTACATGTTCCATTCTGTGACAAACTAAAGCCCTTCATTGCTGATACATTGTCTGGCACAATGTTTGAATTACACACTACTACTAGGGAATGTCCAACTTAGCATTTATTTATTATAATATTTCTGACCCACTCTGTATTTGAAGGCCTTGTTGGAAGGGTTCATTCAATAATATTGTCACAAAACAATGTATGAAATCATGTTACTTAGACTAGTAAGTGACAGCTAGAGTAGGCCCATGGATTCAGTGTAACTTAGGAAGGAGGTGATTCACCAAACCCTCACTGATTCAGTGGGCCTACTTTATCTGCGACTTACTAGGCTAAGCAACAAGATTTCAGCCAATATTAAAACAATGTAAGATGTTTAAAACAAGTAAGCAAAATTAAAATAATAACCACTATGCAGAAGAGCCTAACCAAATTTCATGGTGCCCCTAAGCATGTCTCAACAGTAAGGTTTTGGTGTGACAGAGAAATGAGGCCAGGTTCAGCAAGAGTGAGGCCTTCAAGGAAGGAAGGAATTTGAGAACAGAGACACCCTATCCTTTGAGAATCCTCTCCTGCATTTCCTCATTCTGGATTCTTAAATTAATGTAATATAAACTCAATTTTAATGTTTACTTTGATTATGTTTGTGTTATTTTATGTTACTGCCACTGTTGTAAACTGTCCAGAGTAACCATGAGCCAGATGGGTGGTATAGAAAATAAATAAATAAGAAAGAAAGGAAGAAAAGAGAAGAGGTGGGAACATAAGAAATTACAGTACATTATTTTAAAGCTGAAGAATTTGCCTTGACTAGAAGAGTTCATAGTTCCTCCACACAAAAAAATGATCTTAGCACTAAACTCAGGGCTCGGTCACATGTGAAGAAAGAACCCCAGTTATACTAATTTGTTTCATCCATCTGTTGTACCAATACTTTTTTTCAGCAGTCGCATGGTATATCAGCAGGAGTGTTTACATTGTTTTGAACTGCATCACTACACTTGTTTCTATTTGAACTATTATAGCAGGCTACGCTGCTCTTTAGTTTTGTTTCAGTTCATTTTCTCTACTGTTTCTTGGGGCAATCAGGCCCTCACTTGTCCCTTTTCTTTTTTTAAATTACAAAAGTGATATATTGATAGAGAGGTATGAGCCTTCTCTCTTCCTCCCCTTTTCTGTCTCTTCCTTTACTTTCTGAGCCTTCTCTCCTCCTCCCCTTTTCCCTCTCTTCCTTTACTTATTTCTCTGCATATCTCTCCCTCTCAGGTCTTGGTTTTCATTTTCTTTTCCCTTTTGCACAGCAGTGGAAGGAGGAAGCAGGTTTTAAAAGATTTGCACAGTATTGTGAAGAGCAGGGTTTCAAAAAAGAGAAAGGAGATACTAATGATATATCATTTTCTTTACAATTCAAAGCAGGACATGTCTCTTTCACAGCTCAAGCCCTCTTTCACCAGCAGGGATGGGGGAAGCCTGTATCCTTCTGAGCAATCTACTGTTTTCATGTTGGTTTTTTTACAATTCAAAGCAGGAAATGTCTCTTTCACAGCTAAGCCCTCTTTCACCAGCAGGGGTGGGGGAAGCCTGTATCCTTCTGAGCTATCTATTCATGTTGGTTTTGTCACAGTGGCAGCTGCTACTAGCAATTTACCAATATCCCCTTTTAAAAAAAGAAAAGTACAAGTGTAGTGGCCATGAAGTGGCCACAGTGCCCCAAAACCCAATCCCTTCACAAAGGAAATAAATCAACAGCATTGTTCACACACAGTGAAATGAAAAGGAATGAAGCAATGCATAATCGGTACAATTTAAAACCACCACCCCCAGTGAAGTGGAAATAAACCAATTGCCAAAACAAATGAATTGATGTTGGCCATGCATCATGTGAATGAAATTTTTTTTGAAACAATCCAAATAACAGCCATAACAGTATAACTGGAGTTCTTTTGACATGTTTAATTGAGCCCTCAGTGTTAGTCTCAAGAACGGCAGATTCATTGAAATCTGAAGACACCTGAAGAAATGGGTGTTTTTTGTGAGAGATTACACTGATATACAACAGTTTTTTAAAGATGCCATAACATTTTTATTCTCTGTTCTTTTGTTTTTTTGTTTTTAATTTTGTCTGGATATCCTTGGCATTGATTCTACCTACATTCTTTGTGACTAAGAAGGCTCATGTATTTTAAAGAGTACCTGGAATATTGCCTTCATTTCAGCAGGTTAATTCAGGCAGTCTAATGCTATTTCCATTTTGAAACAATGGGATTAAAAAATAGTTTGCCAGTTACTACCCAACTATCAGTAAATCTGTTATCTCCTGTTCACCACAGGTCTACATTTTTTGATAATATTCTTAGCTGCTATTTTTAGCAGACTGTCTAGCTGGCTATAATGGGGGCGTCCAGGATTCAGTCAGGTTCTGAGGCTACTGAGCATCATTACAGGCCTCTTATCTGTACCTCTGATTCAGACAGTGATCTGGCTATGGAATTAAAATGCAAATGCATTTATTGTAGCTTTTCTCCAGTTAGCTCTTCTCTTCTTTATTTCCATAATACCTTTGCAAGGTAGATAAGACTGGAAAAGAGTGAGTAGCCCAGGGTCATTCGGTAAATATGAGAACCTGAACCTCAATTTCCTAGGTCTCGGTTATATATCACCCAACTTGCATCTGGCAAGCAGTAGTGGCAGAATTAGTTGTTCAATAAGCATCAAAGCAGACTCTTCAAAACAGCTGACTAGGGATGTGTGTGTGTGTTACATGCGATCGAATTGGAACCGACTTATAGCAACCCCAATGGGGCCTTCAAAGTGAGATATTTAAGCAGTGGTTTTACCTGTGCCACTCCCCCAGTGAGCTTCCATGGCTGAGTGGGGATTTGAACCCTGTTCTCCAAAATCCTTTTTTAAAAAAAGCAAAGCGTGGTGCTTATATACCGACCCATAGTGCTTCAAGCACTCTCTGGGCGGTTTACAAGTTAATTATGCAGGCTACACATTGCCTGCCCCCCAGCGAGCTGGGTACTCATTTTACCGACCTCGGAAGGATAGAAGGCTGAGTCAACCTTGAGCCGGCTACCTGGGATTGATCCCCAGGTCGTGAGCACAGTTTTGGCTGCAGTACAGCAGTTTAACCACTGCGCCACTCTATCCATACACTATACTGGAGTGGATACTCTAACATCTGTTTCTTTTAGCAGCACTCTGAGACATTTGCCCATGCCATGAGTAATTTTACTGCTCTCCATCCTGAGACTTTGCCATGCAAGTTATTAATTTAATGTATTTATTTATTTAAAATGTTTTTATCTTGCCTTTCTTCTTAAAAAGAAACAAAGGCGGTTATATGTAGGAAATTGCCCTGGGACACTTTTTCAAGCATGAACAAAGATGTCAACATTCATGCAGGTAACTATGCAGAGGTTTGAAATAATACTCTGTAAACTTAACTGTGAGATTTTTATTAATGACTTGGTTTGCTTGTTTTGGATTATTGTGTTTTATGGTGCCAATTTAAATCGCAGTATGACCTCCTTTGAATATAAATCAGAGGATGGAAAGTTACTTTTAAGAGGCAATTAATTAATATTCAAAAGCCCCTAAATACATACTGGTATAGTTACATTTTTCAAAAAGGAAATATTTACTTTCCTATTTGTCATTAATAACTACAAGGGTTACTTTTCAGTAGCTTTTTAAAAATAAAAAAAGTTCTTTTATTAGCATGACACCCAATGCTTGAGCACTCCATCATCAGAGGTGACTCCACACCCCTATCAAAGTAACTAAAAACTATACAGTACATTATGAGCTACACCTCATGTCTAACAATTGTGATACAAAGTAGTTTACACATTAGGTACTGGAAAATGAATTAATTACAGATAGATAATTATTTGTGACAAGCTACTTGCACACTTTGGTACAACTAATAGAAGAAGAGAAATCAGATTATAAAAACATGACTTTAGCTTCTGTTTGTCTATTCTCTCATGACCCTCAGTAGTTT